TGGATCAAGTGAGCATCACGGGAGCTCATGAACATATCACAGAGTGCAATTTATTAAACATGGAAAACACAGAGGCAGCAAATCCATCCAGTCATAAGGAAGGTGAAGCTTCACATCCTAAACCTTAATAACGGGGGGGGTTATGTTGAAATACAGGTGAGGGACACGTCCGTGCCGTGTGTCCCACACAAACTGTATGAAGCAGTTGTTGCTGAGCTCAGCACTGTGCTCAGGAAGCCCCACGTGGACATGCCCAGGATCTCAGTATTCACTCCAAACTTCATGAAACATGCCAGGACCCATCCTGTGACATAGGAACCGCCTGGCCTGGCTCACACCTAAACCAGTGCAGCCTCATCCACCCATGCTGGCACTGGGCCTTGCTCCATGCTAATCCCCTCCACATCACACCCAGGAGGTGCCTGCTGGGACTGTCACCCCCACCCCTCTGCAAGCTTCCCCTTCTGCCAACCTGGTCTAGTGGAAGGTGTCCCTGCCTGTGGGGGGGGGAATGGAACCAGATGATCTTTGAGGTCCCTTCCAACCCAAACCGTTGTGTGAATGTATGAAGCATACAGACAGCAGGTAGAGGAAGTTGATATCTATCTGTGCATTCGATTCTATACACTTTTACTACTCAATGTATATTTTCAGGTCCATATATCTGTCAGCCCCTATATTAGAGCTGCCAAAAACCACACCTGGGAAGATGGCTGTTGCCTGAAAAATGTGAATCTGCACCCAAAGGAAACGCTGCATCGCAGAAACGTGACAAAGCAGCAGCTGTGCAAGAGGAAACAAGGTGCTGAGCTGAAGAAAACCCAAATGTCCCGTGCAAAAATAGATTACCCACTGTAATAGCATAGGTGGAACCGTTTAAAATCATATACGAGAATTCAACACACCCCACTCAGTCATGTGGGTGCTTCTCCAGCATTGCTCACTGTGGACGTAAGGCATATTGCCTGCACATGAGCAAGAGCTTCAGGATTCAACCTGCGGTCCTGCTGGTGGTGTTTGCCCAGCCCGGCAACCCATGTGTGACACCAGCTCTGAAACCCAGCCGTGATGCCACAAGCTGCTTCATCCATGGCTCTCCACCTCCTCTGCCATCTGAGAACCACCTCAGCAAAGGCCCAACACTCACAGCTCCTCTTGCCTCCGCCCAAAGCAATCCTAGCTTCTGCCCTGCCAGACATCAGGCTCATTTCACTTGGAGCTGCAGCTTTTTGCTCTGGCCCTTCACTAACAGCTCCCAACAACCTGTTCACCTTTCTGACTGCTGCTGCATGCCAGTGGTAGCTCGCACAGGACCAGTCACAGCGACTCCAGGACACACACACCAGGCTTGCATTTCCCATTTAGGTTACTTTGCTTATGCTGACAGTGGATTTCAGTTACTATTCAAAACACCCTGCCAGCTTTTATTTTCAGTACCTTGAATAACTTTATCTCAGCAGACCCTGTCACGCTGCTGTTCAGTGCACAGCACAGGAGCTGGCACAGCTCTTTGGAGCTCCACAGGGAACAATTTAGGACCTGCTGACATTATTGTCCACGTAGAAATGTCATGCTGAGCAAGCCAGAACTGCATGACATATGATTTATCAACTGCCCATATTCAGTCTGGATTTTGATTTGGTCCAGAACACACAAGCTGGTTCCAGGAGCAGTATGAGCACTGTGATCCAACCATCGATTCCTGCCCTAGTGCACACCCAGACCGTGTCACAGTGAATACCAGCACGTAGGTTTGGGGAGACAGGAGCAGCCTGCGAAGTAGCTCAGGTCACAGCTTCCACATGGGAACCCAGCCCAGGCAACATGCTCCATGCACCATTCCTATCTATAACCTGAGTCCTGTAATGCAGCACGCTTTGGGCTGCAAACATGGAGCAAGGACTAGAAAACAGAGTGGGAGGTGGCAGAGGTCAAGTGTATGGCACGAGGGAGAAAGACAACACAGAACCTGCAGTGATGAGGGAGCAAGCGATGTTTCAACCACCTCCTATTTCCACAGATGTCTGGAAACCCCAGTGACACCACCAGTGTCACGTACTCTGGAACAGCTTGATTACAGCTCAAGTGTGGTTCTTCAAAACCAGATCACTGTGCAGCTGAAAGAGAACTCGGGCAAGAGATGAGGATCAGCGCAGGGCCCTTGTTACTGGCTGGTGGCTGCTTTCCCCCCAGGTATACTGCGGATAGCAGTGAGACAAGTCTAAGTGTGAAGTCTTCCAAGTGCTGTCAGACTCATTAACAAAGTACTTACTCCTCACACCACCCTGCACGACCGCTGCCTCACAAGCACCATCAAGTCCTAAGTGACAAAATCAGCAGCTGATCCAGGTGCTTTCTCTTTGTTGCAGGTGGTTGAAGGCTGGTTAAAGCCTCAGCACGTATTGCTCCTCACAGAACCCAGCACCACAGACCTGCACTACACAAGTTTTATAGCCCTGATGAAAGAACCAAACCTCTCATTGCCCCATAAATTTCCAGTAAAGAGCTTGTTCAAAACAAACCAAACCCCCAAAACCAGAGGACCGAGAACACTCAACCTACAAACAGTACAAATCTCTCAAACAAGCTCCAAGGCAACGCGATGCTTTCACACATGAACCAACTCCCCAGTGAGGAACAAGCCTCCGGACCAGTCACCAGTGGAGAGGGCATCCACTGGTTCCTCTTTCCTCCCACCACCAGCAAGTTTTCATACTCCTGCACCACATCAACTACAAACTCACCACCAGGGAGCTGCTTCCCTGGTTCCTTCTGCTCTCTCCATTAGCTGCAGCTGCACCAGTGCTGGGGCACAGGGGCCACCACACAATGGCCAGAGAACTTCTCAAGGTGTGCTAAGGCATGGGGAAGGGCTGGCCACCTCTCCTGTGAGGACAGGCAGAGAGAGCTGGGCTTGTTCAGCCTGGAGAAGAGAAGTCTCCGGGGAGACCTTAGAGAAGCTCCAAGTTCCTAAAGAGAACTACAAGAAAGCTGGAGAGGGACTTCTTACAGGTTATGTAGCGATAGGACAACAGGAATGGCTTAAATTAAAAGATTGAGATAAGAAGAAGAAATTCTTCCCTGTGAGGGTGCTGAGGCGCTGGCACAGGGTGCCCAGAGAAGCTGTGGCTGCCCCATCCCTGGCAGTGTTCAAGGCCAGGTTGGACACAGGGGCTTGGAGCAACCTGCTCTAGTGGAAGGTTGGAACTGGATGAGCTTTAAGGTCTCTTCTAAACCAGTCTGTGATTCTGACTCTTACTCCTATTTGGCTCCAGAACTGCTTCTTTAAAGACTTCTCCCCACCCCACAACCTCCCTCCGCACCCCTGATGAAACCCCTGCAGCCAGAGAGCACAGGCCCCCGCCGGGAGCTCTGCCCTGTGCCTTCTCGTCACTGCTGCTGGCACTGACCAGCCAACGCTGCCGACCACCATCGAACACCAGCTCATCAGTGACGCAGTGTGAAGCCCACAGCCTGTGCTGCCCTGTGTCCACACGGTCCCAGTGTGTTTGATACTCCCAATGCCAGTCCTCCCTCTTGCTCTGAGGACAAGGCCCATAACCATTCCGAGTTGTATTTTCAGGTTGCTCTTCCTTACACGTAAGACGTTTCTCTCCCCCACACCAATTTCCAACATGAAAACACTCAAGCAGGTACTGAGTTTAGGAAAATAGAAATAAAAAAAGCACTTCAACATACGTGTCTATTTAAGCAGAGGTATTTCCCTACCAGTCAGAACCTAAAAACCCTCATTAACCAGAGATACACAGCAAGAAAATCTACAGATATCATAACCCTTTATTACAGTGAGCTGAGGATGGGTACTTGGCTCAGGACTTTCTATCCTTGTCTTTAAGGAGACTGCAAATGAGACAAAATAGAAAATGTAAAATCAGTGTTTTCAAAGTTGTCACCAATTTTGAACACATTTGTATGAACTCTGCAATCTTTGTGTACCCTCAAAGCGGCAGCTCGTAGTTCCCATACAGAATGATACCTGAAAATCTTAGTGCTTCACCCTAAAGCACAGACATACTCATGATATGTGTGATTTCAAGAGGGTATCAACAGTGTTAATGGTTAGAAAAATACATTTGAAATTATCTGTCAAATAAAATGCTGAAGAACCCTCTCCACAGATCTGTCCCCCCAGTCCAACACACTGGATGTTTCCATGCAGTTGGTGCAACCTGTTGTTTTCAAGACAGAGTCAGAAGTTTCACCAGTACAAAGGAACGTTACTGCTCTCTCAGCACTGCTGTGTGATGGCTCAGGCCAGCCAAAATAACAGAGCCATAAGAAAGGTAAAGAAAACTGACAATACACAAGAACAAAGGAAGGCACAGTGATAGTGGGAACATTGAGAAGAAGAGACCATCAGTACAATACATGAACTCTCCAGTAGCATGCAGTAATTTCTATAGGAAAAAATCCCCAAAACATACTATTAAAAGGACACTTTTGTGCTACTTCTTGTCAGTTTTTAGAAGTAACATTAAAGGTTACTGTCTACTAGAAACAGCCTGAATTTGTTTCACTGATGTAGTTTGTTGCTGTGCTTCAGTCTGTGGCAGTGTTAAGCTTCAGCTGCACGCCCTCCCCGGCAAAACCAAACCAAACCCCTCTGGTTTTACAAGGGAGGGAGATAGGAAGGAATTTGCCAGGACATTTTCAGTACCCGAGTGCAATGCAGTAGCCACATGACTATGGTTTGATTATTACTTGCTTACATGAATTCTGGTGTAACGAATTATTTCAGAAGAGCAACATGGCACTTGCAACAGGGGCTGAAGCTAAAGGCATGATGACACTTTGAGATCTGAAATCCTTTACAGTGTCCTTTTAAGTATCAGTAGACCAGTATCTGAGCTGCAACTGATACAGAACAGAGGTGAATCTAACGAAATATCCCAAATCAAGAATGTTACAGTATCTCACAGTAAAGAAACAGTCTATGGCACTACTGAAGAGAAGAAAGCATGAAGGATAATAGCAGCATATGGTTTACCATTTTCACTTTTCAGTTTATTAATATTAGTGGTGCACTCAGCAATGGCTAAAGCAAGGGATGAAATTCTGACAAAACTGGCAATTATCTACCACATGTCAACACATAATCATGGTCTTTGTAAACAGCTACCTCCTCTCTGAACTCAAATTGCAAAGAAAAGAATATTTACATATAATATATATGTATATAACCACAAAACCAAAATTAAGTTAAATCCTTATCAAGGAAATCATGTTTTGCAGAGAAGAAAACATAATACACTATTAAATAGTACAGCTCCAAATATTTTGAAGGCGTTGTGATTTTCATGTTTTCTTCCTCCAGTCATTTCCCCCTGGATTTTAATAGATTAAATACTTCATTTCAGAGTAAATAAGTGGAAATATTATCGAGCAGCTCCGGTAAAGAATGGCTCCACTATTGACAAATGCTCGAGGCTTGGTGATCCAGGACTCTGACTTGAAGCAAAAATAAACAGCATATAATGCTACAGCAAAGAAGTGGCCAATCAGCACCATTGGTTTAGGAGATAACCTGTATTGAGAATAAATAGGTAAACTGTGTTAATAAACAGAATTGGAAAGCACTGACAAATATCAAGTTTACAAGTAGAGATCTGCACTCAAGATGACACACACCCCCCCTTCTGATTTAAGCAGCTCTGGTGCTGGCATCTCAACTGAAAAGCACACACTTTGTTGTCTTGGAGCTGCTCCATGCTCTGTGTTCCCCCCCCAGCACAGCCAACACACACTGCTGCACCCTCCTCATTCCCCGCAGCCCGTGCCTGCCCCCATCAGCCCCCAGCAGATTACTCTCAGCAGGCTCTGTCACTGTTAGCTCCCGTTCCAAAAAGGGAGAAATACAAACGCACACATTCTCACTGCACAGTCACCAGTTTCTGAGGGGTCAAAACACCTTGACAGTTCCCCCATTCCTCATGCTCTTTTATGGGAGACCTCATCCTTTGCTATTCCCAACTTGTCAAGCATGAAACACATCCACCAGTTCCTCTGCCAGTCTGGACCTCTCTATCTCTCTCATTCAACACCCATGGCACACACATTAACTTCTCTCCACCTTTTAGTGGTGTATTTTTACAAAGAAAAAAAAACAAAAGAGAGTCAGCCTTTAAAGACATCTTCTAATAAAGCTCCAACCTTTAGTGTAAGCCTAAAAACACAGGCTCGTATGGACCTGGAGTACTGTGCCTGTGCAGAGCTGACTGACTGGGAGCAGAGCAGACCCCCGCAGAGGCTCACTACACTCCCCTGCTCACACTAGCTACTTCCAGCATGTTGAACTTACACAGACAGCAATCCAACAGGGCCAGAGACACATTCTCCACCAAGCCTGAAGTAATGGAAACAAGCACTCTTCAGCTGATGCAAGGAATCTACAAAATGAATTACAGTGACTCAACAAATATATTCAACACATACTCAAAGCTTACTCAGCACACACACAACAGCAATATCAAATCCAGGCCTTTGGTACTTCGGTAGCTGTTCTGTTAAATTCAGCTGGATTTGGAGCTATTTTTAATGAAGTAAAGGATAGTCTTACAGCATATCTACATATTCGTGAATTAACTGACACAAGAACAAGTGTTTTCCACTTGTTTCTTTGTGGGGTTTTTCTTTGGTTTTGCCTTTTTAATGCTACCTGCAGACTTGCCTTCACACTGCTAAAACTCAGTTTACATACCACTAAAACTAAACAATTAGGCAGAGAACACAAGCTAACACATTAAAATCCTTCCACTGATATACTTTAAATATCTATCAACATACACACACAAACACATGGACATATGTTCATATACACATATCCTTTCCCCAAGCATATTTACCAAGCTGTAACTAGTCAAAATTTATCTTTAAAAATCTATTTACCATCTGTGGCAGCAAAGAGTTCATACAGTGCCTGGGCAAGAACATTCACTACAAAAGAATGAGACTTTTTTCTTGACCAGTAAAATGTTCTTTTGGCCTGAAAAAGGAAAAGACAAGACCTAAGCATTTCTGTCAGTACATACAGAAGAGCATTCAAAACATTCCCAAGGAGGTAGTAAGAGCCATACCCATGAAAATTTGGCATGGATTTAGTAATACACTAGATCAGTGTCAAACTACATCAGGAAAGAATTTTGGAAACTTGTTAAACCAGGCTCCTCTTACTAAATACAGACAGGGCAGCACAGAAGGGTGTGCTTCATCTCAGCCTGCAGCAGGTGGCTGGATCAGGTCAGAAACTTGAAGGGTTACTCACCTACTTCTTGCTGCTGACTGAGTGTAAGTAGGAAGTAACTGGGAGCCTGAGGTGACGCTGAGATCTAGTATCTGCATGTGGTCAGGCAAGTCCTGTATTGTCCTGACATTCAGGGGCCCTCTAAGGGCTTCTCAATTCTCAAATACACTTTTAAAATCCTTTACTTGTAGTCTGCAGTTATTCTAGCTTTAATTTAGCCAAGACAATATAAAATCATAGAATCAGAATGGTTTGGGTTGGAAAGGACCTTAAGATCATCTAGTTCCAACCCCCTGCTTAACCTGATTAAAAGCAGCGAAGAAATAAATAAGAAATCTTATTATCTAGTTATCAGAATTTTGGGTCAAAATCTCACTGAAAAAATAAACCTGGCATCCACATTGATGGTGCTGATTCCTGGGAAGGCAGGGTATCTCCTAACTTCCTACTGTGAGATTAATGCAGCAGGCAAGAGGCCAGTGGAGCACGGAAATGTGCCTGGAAACACTTAGTCCACGTGCTTGTTATTCCCTACGCACACAAGAGTAATGGTCCAACCCCACCCCATTTACCATCAACCTATGTTACAAGCACACTACTAGAGGCAGGTTAGGTTATATTAGCAAAGTGTGCTGACTAGACACAGCACACCAGTCTCCTTCAGCACAACATGACAGAGCAGCAAGCAGCATTGAATCTGCCTTTTGCCACACAGCCACAGCACTCCCAGGTCACAACTCCACTGCCTGGTGAATGCCTCATGTAGGATTTACCATCCAAAGCTTTGAAGACTGCTGTGCCTTGCTAAAAACCTACATGTCCCCAAGCTGCATAAAACTTAGAAAAGCATCATTAAATTGCAGTAAAAGCTGCAAAGTAAAGCTTCACCTGAAGAACGTCAGAATCTTCATAAAGGTCTGGAATATCCTGGAGCAAACTCTTCCATATTTTAATATCATTTAAAATAACACTCATTCCTCCACCAGTTAGAGGGTGTCTTATATTATATGCATCTCCTAAAAGCAGAACACCTATGTGGAAGAGAAAAATTCATGGGATACTGCATGAACAAACCCTCTATTTTCTTTTATTTATTTTTTTAAATCAAACTTATTAAGAATTCATTCCCATACATCAGATAGGTAACAACTGGAAATGAAGGAGGAAGGAGAAAAGTATTTAACTTAAAAAGGCTTAAGATGAACAAACTCACAATATTTCTTCCCTGTATATATGTGCATTTCAAAGAACACACACACTTTTTAAAGGTAATTTCTTTCCATTTTTAATCAAGTTTTCCTTAAAAAGACCAAGCTTGTACAAGCTTGAGCAACTGAGTGATTTAAACTTAAAGAGAGAAGTCCATAATGCTTTATTTCCTCCTTTTATTTCATAAGACACACCTTTTTTGTTTACAGCTGAAGGGGGCAGGAAGCTGGCCGGCATTGTCCTTAAGCGATCAGTCTGAACTGCTACTAAGAATGGCTCCTTTAAGTGATCTGCAATAACCAAGTATTTCAGTTACACAACTTAAGAGTCTATAACCATTTGCACACAACCTATTTCAACCTCTTCTTAGAGATACAATCCTTCTGAACTGCTAATCTCACAGATGTGAGCTAAACAAACTGCTATGGGACGTGGAATCAAAGAAGGGTGAATGGGAATGGAATCAGTAACAGTGGACATGGAGAAAAAGCCACACAGTTCAATGGGTTCAGTGAGATAGGCCTTTTCTGGCACACATGACAGTGACAGTTACAGATGGAAATCTTCCTACACTTACCAGGTAGCTGTGGATGAATGTTCTCAATCATGTATTCTTTTAAATTCTTTGGCATTTCCCCTCGAATATCGACAAGGACCCGAGTCTCAGTTGAAGAAATCTGATAGATAAGCACTGGACTGGTTTTAGCTAAAACAAGTTCAGCATAATTAGCTTTAAACTGTGGTGCATCCTTAAAGAGAAAAGAAGGAGGAGAAAGGTTGAGCCTGATTAGTGAAAGGATATTGCAACTTCAGAAATTCAAAATCATTTTCTTAAATACTTTGAAATAAACCCCTGTATCACAGTGTTTTATCTCCATGAACAGGAGAAGTGCTTTCAAAAAGAAAGTTCTGAACTTCAGTGTAGTTACAGTTCTTTTCACAATACATTTTAACTTTTACTAGAAAACATGTTAAGTCACACATTTCATTTGAACACCTCACTAATATTTAAGACATGCCATTGAAAGCCTGTAATGTAACAATCACAGTGGGTTTTGGTAAGAGGATGTTCTCTTTTCATAAAGAAAGTGCTGGGAGGGAAAGAAATGCGCTGTATTTCTTCCTGTTGTACTGTCTCTGTATGCAACTATATGAAGGCACCAACTGAGGAAGAATCACAGGGTCCTATCTAAGCAAGTCTTAAAGAGGTTTCCAAACGTAGAGAAACAGGAGGCCCTTGGGCAGTGGTAACTGGGTTAGGGACCCAAAAAGTGCTGAAGTTCCTCCAAGTCAGTGTTCCCAGTCCAGTGCAAATGCTGTGGCTTTGGTTTCTTCCCCCTTCATTCTTTTTGCTGTTGATGCCATAGTCAATGCAGCAGCCACAGAGAGAAAGACCCAGCCAGCATTTCTACCTGGGCTCTCCAACCACCCACTTACCAACCTAGATTCCCACTTTCCCTCTTGAAGTTTATAGACCCTGAAGGTACGCATGTACCTGTTTACAAGGCACCCCACCTTCAGGCAAAAGCAGTTTGGGGATTCTTCTGGAGTGTAAAACATGAGTGGTTTGACCCACAGCTGCCAGGATGATCTAAAACTCAAGATCTCAGCTCTCTGAACACATGCCGTGAGTATTGTGAAAAACAAGAGTCAGCATCTCAGCTACCAGTACCTCAACACAAACCACTCAAAGCACTTACAGCCACAGAAACTATCTTATAAATTGGGTTCCAGCTTTACAATGGTGTCCTCTTCTAATCCAGAGATGATATGCTATTAGCACATACAGCACTATCTGAGCTATTAGCACATACCTTAGTTGAGATGCTGAAACTTTATTCTTAAAGGAAAAAGAATATCTGTGAATGGGTCTAGTGTGCCCAGTGCGCAGTTTAAATTACCTGTGTTGAATGTTAATCCAGTTTCTTTTAAACCCTCCCTTGTTCAACTATATGCTTAACACTGTACTCCACTCTTTAAACCAGAAAACTAACTTTTAAAGTTGCCTAAAAGCATTTTAAGAGTTGAAAATCTGATCTGTAACTGTACTAGTTAACTGGGTAAGCATCAATAATGTGAGAGTTAAAAACATGGACTAAAATATCCAAGCAGTCCTCAAAGGGACACGGAAACTGATAGAAGAGCTGGCTAAGTATCTAAAAGCATAGTTCTAGTTGATTCTGTTGGAAAAGATGATGAACAACACCATATTCAGTGAAATTCAGACCCACAGTAAGAAGCAGTAGCATACACAATATTATACATAAACATTACCTTTAAAATGCAACCAACAAAATGAGATGAAACAGTAACTTTGTTGGAGACCAAGTTCTTCCTAAACTTGGAGAAAAGTCCATCAGCAACAACTGTGAGTGGTGCATGAAGTTCCTGCAGCATGAGGTAAAAAAAGATAGGACATTTTCAGAACAGTGGGAAACAACTCCCAAGCTCTCATTTTCAATTAAGCATTAGATGTTCTACAAAACAATAACCATGTAATAAGATCACAGAAGGTATTTATACTCTCTATTGAAATAGAGTATTTTTGCCTTCCTCATATTCACACTTGATCCTATTTCCTCTGAAAGTTGATCTAACAATATACTTTGGCTTTTTTAGACATGCTTTCAGATCCCATAGTTATGGGACTGTGTAGGAATTTGGATCAAAACAAAGACAAGAAAGTAGAGTAATTGCTGCCTTCAGCATATAGAAGAAAAAAGAAAACCACAAGATTTTAACTTCAAGAGCTATGTGTAAGCAACTAAACAAAACCAAAGTGTTACAAACTGAAAGGCAGTAAGCATACCAAGATCTTTACAAGAGCGAGCAATGACCTCTGAGCAGTTCCTGGTGCACTTGGGAACTATAGGAACAAATACTGCACATAGACAAAATGTAAAATAAAATCTGAGTCAACTGACGAGGTTCAGCCTGAGCATAGGCACATTCCTAATACTTACCACACACTGGTCTCTAACATGAACAAATTATTCCAATTACTCACATATATTTATAAGCAATCTATTGTATGGTAATATAGCAACATCATTATACTATCATTATACTGGAAAGCATTTAGAGGCAGATGTTTCCTTCTACCTACAGCTTTCTCAATGTCAGTATATTCAGTGATGTAACTGCAAATGATTATAGATTTACACTCAGCATTGGTCCTTGGCCTTCACCAATCTCATACATTTGGCATGAGCAGGAAAGCTTTCAGGATAGACGTAACAAGGCAAAAAAGCCTTACTAGTCCCAGGAAACATTCTACTACTGGATGGAAGCATCTGGTGGACCAGTGTGTGAGTGGGTTTCTCTATGAGCAGTTCTCTGCTGCATAGGAATGGACTCATCCACTTGTGTCACACAGTCCTTACATCTTCCACTGTGTGATGGGACATCGGACAAAATGAGATGAGAGCAGAGCTGAGTAAAATAATACAGGTTTATGGTGTCTGAGCTTAGGGAAGTGAGCTCCTGAGCAGAGCTAAAGAAATACTCTTTCCCATAGATGCTTGTCTCAGATGATTGCAAGCTCTAATTATTCCTGCAATTAAAGCAAAATCAACTCCACATAAGGGTTCCCTGGAGTCTCATCTGAACATTCATGCTACAGTTTTTCCACAGTCAACACACTAAGACCTTTATTCAGTTGCCTGGTTTTGATGAAGTTGACTTGGAGCATACTGGCTAATTCGTACCTCACTGAAGAGAATAAAAGTCTCACAGGTAATGTGATGGACAACAGGGATGAAGAGAACAGAAAAACACAGGAACACAGTACAGATCAGCCTTCTTTCTTTATGAAAGCAGGCTAAGGAATGTAAACAGGCTTTGGGTTTGGGTTCCCTAAGTTATTTCCCAGGTGTAAAGAGTCACAAGTAGGGAAACACAGTTAAGAATAAACATTTAGCGGAAATTCCTTACAGTAGATTTCTAAAGTCAAAGGGGATCTAGGCCACAAAATGAAACAGCTGTTTCCAGCCAGAGAACTTCAGCATAAACATGAATTTGTTTCTCCCCATTATACAGATAGGAAACTCAAAGCTTAACAACATCCAGGCTCTTGGGAAAGACGCTGGCTAAAACACTGGTCACCCGACTGCTGGTCAAATAAGTCACACTTATAATTACAATAACATCTGTCCTACATGTGTAAAGCTTAAAAATAAATCTCAAAACAAAATATGCAGTATCCCTCTTTAACCTCAAACAAAACCAACAAAATCCCTTCTACACTGCTGGATGATAAAGCCAATTGGATGTGGGGGGAAAAACCCAAATGAACAACAAACCACCCCATCCCCCAAACCCCTCTCCTCTCAGAGTCCCTCTTTCCAGTACCCATATGTGATTCAATGGCTTACTCTACTAGAGAGGACGTCTTTGTATGTTTTACTCATTTTACGTAACATGTAAGACAGACCAAGGAACAGGACTTGGAACTCCCCCTCAAGAGGGGGTCAAGGATGTTGTCCAGTAACTAAGGTATAACACAAACCACTGCTGCTACCACCAATGATAATAATGATGAGGGAAATAACAAGAGGAGAGGACACAACCCCCCCCCCCCCGCCGACCGATACCCAGCCCGACCCGAGCAGCGATCTGGGCCTTCCGGGTAACTCCCCCCAGTTTATATACTGGGCATGACGTGCTGTGGTATGGAATAGCCCTTTGGCCAGTTTCGGTCAGGTGTCCTGTCTCTGCTTCCTCCCGGCTTCCCCATCTCCCTGGCAGAGCATGAGACTGAGAAAGTCCTTGGTCAGAGTAAACATCACTGAGCAACAACTAAAAACATCGGTGTTATCAGCGTTGTTCCCAGACTGAAAGTCAAAAACACAGCTCTGCACCAGCTACTAAGAAGGAGAAAAAATGACTGCTGTAGCTGAACCCAGGACACCTGTCTTAACTGAAAATAGTCTGTATCACTTTAAACAAGTTTCTTAAACAATCTATGTAAAAGAAAGGCGGGGGGGGGAAATAGAGCCTATTTATCTCAAAACACTTCGCTTTTCTCAAGAACAGGCAGTATATCCAGGACTTCAGCACACTGGTTCTACCCTGACTGGTCTTTCCTAAATGTTTAATTATGAGTTCACACAGTTTGGTAGCAGTTTAGCATTAGTTGAGGCAAAGAATATTCATCAAATCAGTGATGCAATTAAAATTGGTCAGAACTCTGTGATCTAAGAAATGACTGGACAGAGCTGTCTCTGTGAAGAGGTACCTATCTTATTTTCAGACACCTCTGTTGATGGTGGAATTATATGGGAAGTGTAAACCACTACACACAGCCAAAGCACAAATCTTAATATAATGAGTTTTTCTACCAGTAACTCCCAAAAGATTTTAAACTCCGGACATATGAATATTGAAATAAATAATGAACTGAATTTTCCAGACACACTAAATGCAGAAGCTGCGCAAGAAGTTATAACAAGAATTCCCATATGCTGAGACTCTCTCTTTACTAAAGCTTTCAATTGCTTGATAATGCCATTATTTCTGCACCAGTGCTCCAAAATAAAGGTTTTTTTAAAGATCATACATATGAACCAACCCTTGATTTTCTCAATAGTTTAACAAAGATGGTAACAGAAAACAGTCCTACCTTGGTGTCTCCAGTTTCTTTGTCCTTGTACTGAACACCCACAACGCAGTCATCTTCCTCAAGCAATTCTAACACAGTCCCCTCAATGAATTTTGTACTGAAACAAAGCAGAGGGTTTAAAACAGAATGGAAAATAAATACTGCCAGCACTTCAAGGCACTAGACAAAGAAGGAAAACCAGATTTTCACTAATCCCATCTCTGTCAAAACAAACGGGTTGTTTAAATTCTACACAAATACGTTCTTGACCACTTTCAGAAACCACATCAAACATCGAGAAGTGCTTGTCGGTGATTTCAGTTCAACACTAACAGGTGTTGATAGCTGAGAACAGTCTGAAACTGTGGTGCTTATCTTAAACACCAAACCACTTAGCAGAACCCCCAGCTGTGCTTCAGGTACTCCATGGCCATGTAAGAGCTGCAGAGAGGAGTCTGACACCTGCTAATGGTCAGAAATCAGGCCGCTGGCCAAGACGTCCCTGCTCCAGCGTGGGAAATGCTGACAGTGCAAGTGAGACCTGACTGCAAGCAGAATCCAGGAGCAAGATCTGCAGCAGCAATTCTACGCTAACATGTACACTAAAGATGACGGTACCTAATTCCCAGAGTAGTCAAAAGTAACCTAACCTGTTTAGGACAGAGGCATCTAGGTTTTCACCTCAGGAACTCGGGATACTCCTTTATTTTTTCCCCCCTTTTTTTGCTATTTATGCTTTTCAAGTTCTGCTAATGCTTATGGTCAGAGTTTGAACTGAGCATCCCTTATTTCCACCTCCCAACCAGACCTATTTGTGGTTAGCAAATTAAATCTCTGTACACTTACATCCCTTGTTGGGTCCAAGCTGTTAGACCTGATCCCAGCAGTTCACACTTAACAGCTCAACAGACACTCTCTCTCCCTCTCAAATATTTGCGTATCCAGATGGAATTCCACAACTTGGAGAAATTAGCTAAAGGCCTACATGAGAATTCAACAGCTTGATATTTTTGGCTCTTGGAGGGAACATGAGCAATTGAATTCAAGTCTTTTCTACATGTCAGCCAGCACAGAAATTTCTGAGCTTAATTTGCCAGGCAGCAGGCAGGTTGCCTGGATCAAAACATGAACGGTTATATGTTAGCACACTGACAGAAACTTCACCAACAAGGGAGGGCAGCAACATGTCAGGTTAATAGCACATGAATCAGAGTTCAGCAGATCCCATCAGCTTTAAATTCCTTTTATAGTTGTCATTTCAGATATCCAAGTGAATACTCACTTCTTTGCTGGTTCTCACCCACTATAAAGATAATTAACTGATGAGGCCCTTCCTCTTTCCTCTGCAAAATAAATTTTACTCATCCGAAGTAAATTCATATTGCCTACTATTTATAAAGAGGATATATTAATTAGTAATAATAAATAATTATCCCCTAGAGTTTCACAAGCTTTGAGATGAAAAACGAAGCCTCGTGGAACTAATAAAGAGTTCCTGATCTCTCCCACACCTTAATTTAAAAGTAGTTTTCTACACTACCATTAAAATGGAAAGCAAGCATACACAAAATGAACATTACAGATAGTGTGGGAAAAGGGGACAGAACTGAATTCAAGACACAAACATGAGCTTTTGTGAGTTTCTGCTTCAAAGACCGCATGCAGCTACAGGAGTTCTCTCTGTAGGCTGAGCTGAGCAAAAAAAGTGCCCAAATTTCACTGAACTTGAAGCCTCAACAAGGAGCTCTGATAGCTCCAGGGCCCCCAACAAAAAAAGGACATGGACCTGATCAAGTGGGTCCAGAAGAGGCCATGAAGATGATCAGAACAGCTGAAGCACTTCTCCTATGGAGACAGCCTGAGAGAGTTGGCGTTGTTCAGCCTGGAGAAGAGAAGGCTCCAGGGAGACCTTAGAGCAGCTCCCAGTGCCTAAAGGGGTTACAAGAAATCTGGAGGGGGGCTTTTTACAGGGCACATAGCAACAGAACACCAGTGGCTTTAAACTGAAAGAGATTTAGATTATATTTCATGTTAGGAAAAAAATCTTCAGTGTGGGTGCTGAGGTGCTGGCACAGGGTGCCCAGAGGAGCTGTGGCTGCCCCATCCCTGGCAGTGTTCAGGGCCAGGTTGGACCCAGGGGCTTGGAGCAACCTGCTCTAGTGGAAAGTGTCCCTGCCCATGGCAAGGAGTTGGAACTGGATGAACTTTAAGGTCCTTCCAACCCAAAGCGTTCTGTGAAATATTTAACTACTACAGAGCTGCTATCTTTTAGTGCCACTTTTAGTAATTCATATGGTACAACAGATATGACAGGAGAAAGCAATTTCCTGTTCAGAAGAGAGACATGTAAGGTAGAAAGGCGATAATGCCACGCTTCCCTTCTAAGTGTTATTCAGGGAAATAAAGAAGGATAACACAAAAAACACCTCACAGAAAACAGCACCTAAAGTCTACTCTGTTTCAATAAAAGTTTCCGTATCTCCTGCATAAAAGACAAATCAGTTAAAAAGGAAATACCAAACACTAACTTTTATTTCCTTGGGAAAAGAAGGTGAATTCAAGATTCTCAAAAACAGAAGTTAATAACTGGAATAAGCTACTTCCATTTAGTGCTCCTGTCTAGTTATTTAGCTTGACTTCCCATTATCAGTAAAGGCACAACAACACGCAAATGCCTAAGAAGTTCAATTTCTGGCATCACAGATAACACTAGTGGAAGAAATATATGCCCCTGCTCATTGCACGAGGGTTGGACTGGACGCCCCTTAAAGGTCCTTTCCAACCCAAACCAATCCATGATTATAATAATACCAGATTTGCCACTTGTTTCTTGACCAAGGAAGTTCTACACATGGCTTACTGAGAAGAGGTCTCTACTCCTGGAAAACCCAAGAATCAGTAGAAGAGAATTGACTCTTTACCCTTAAACTGTTCTCTCACATGGATGGGCCAGTTATCTTGCCTAATACTTAAAACCTATACTCCTGTAGATTAACTTGTCCCAAAAGGTAATGTACTGTGTATATGCAACTCATGAACGCATCTACAGAAAACAGAATGAGCAGCTATAGCTGTTCCATTCCCTCAGTCTTGTTCATTGGAGCCCTCTGTGTTGGGACAGAGGGAAATGGTTAAGGAATCTCACAGACGCTGGGAACAATGGTTCTCAATCTCTGGATCCCAACAGAGCTGTTCAGAAGGTGACTCACTTGGGCTCTGCCATAGCTGCCCTTCGCAGACCCATGATGAACTGGCCATGATGAAAAGCTCTTCCACTGGCCACGCCCCCATCCTCAGATGTTGGATAAGGAATTTCAACCTCCGACTTGCTGTCTATGTCATGAATTATGTAACCATTTACAGTTTGTGAGTCAATACCTTCTACTGCATCTGCAAAATATAAACCAATAGATGAGTTAAGAAAAGTCTTTAAGAAAGCTTAATTATGTATTAAAAGTATTTATCCACAGTCCAATTTTCTTAATCAAAACACATGTTTAAGGATGAGTATTTTCAAAATGGCATGCCAGAAATACGTAAGCAACTTTAATTCAAACTTTAAGTGTAGCTAATGTATTTGTTCATTTTCCCAGCAGGCATGCTTTCTCTAAAACTATTGCATTACAGATATATTTACAGTTTGAAATGCACTCACCTTCAAGACCCAGTTCTCTAAGTGCTTTAAAACCTCCAGGTTGCAACAATTCTCCAACTATCCTGTCCGGTTCTTTCAGATCCCTCTCTATCACAGCCACCTTCCTTCCATCCCTCGAGAGCACCGTGGCCAAGGAAGAACCAAGGACACCAGATCCCACAATGATGATTTCTGGGTCACACTGGGGTGATAACGTTGTATTTGGAGCTGTTTCTGTCAGATACACATCTGAGAAGTTTACTTTTCTTCTACCCTTTAGAAAACAAAGCCAACAAAGTTACATGTACCATAACCTTGTCAGAGGGCTGACTTTGGTCGAGTTTTACTTTGACCCAGGGGACTGAGAGTGCAGTGGTAGCTGGAGAGCATCTTCCAGTTCAGTTTAGTCCAAAATGAGGTAAGTTGTATTCTACAATGCAACAAAGCCACAACAAGCAGAGAAAAGAAAAAACAATACCCCTCCCACCCCCCAAATGGAAATCAAGATACGTGCTTAAACCTGCCCTGCTGATCAGAGAGACTGAAAGTCAAGTTCCTATAAAAAGCAGTAAGCCAAAGCTGTCCCATATTCTTAAAAGTAACACATACCAATGCCTTCGTATCAGTGAGCCACTACCACATATGTGCCCCAGGACTTTGCAAGGAAACAGGTTCCCTGGAAAATGTATTTCTCTTCAGTTTTACTGTAAGTGAACCTACCTACCAAAATAACAGCTTACAGTAATACTCAGCATGGAAAACTGTTAGCAGAAGCAGCCACTTGGGAAATGTTATGGAAAAGTAGTCCTGAAATGAAAACTCATCAGTCAGAAGTACAGGGAAAATTACCATTCACCTACATTTAAAACTGTTAAGAACTGACATACATCAGATCAGGCACCAGTTAACATACAGACTGGTACCTGAAGACCAACTGTGTCATAGGATCTTCCCAACAGTACCTAGTAATACACTTCAAAGTGGAAAAAAAAGTTGTAAGGGTAATTCCAATGCAAACCAGCAAGTCATTTCTCCAGTTGTGGGAATAGAGTCCAATTGACTCTTTCACAAATGCTTCAGCAGTGCAGTGCTGACAGTGGTAAAATGAGATTGCATCAGTGAAACAAATGCCCAGAACAACAGAATTAATAGTGACACAGTGTCATGTTTGTATCTACAGAGTAACGAGGGAGTGAAAAACTGAATGCAGATAATACAAGAAACTGGGGTAAAGGCAGGCTTCACCAGAGAAGCAAAATAAAAATCCAGAACCTTGGACTTGCAGCCAAAAACGGTTTCAAGCTCTCTTGTGCAAGGGGTCCGTGCTCAGCTGGAAATGCCCGAAGTGATAGGAAAGTGCTGAGCCACAGATGTACTGAATATGCACATCCAGTTGGTAGTCCCCGATGGCAGGACTCCAGCTAAGCTCCACTGTCTCACAGCAAGTCCCATGCTGGGCTCAGCCGAACAGACCGACTATCTGAGCTCAGGTCCTGCAGCTACTGCACATTCAGTAGCTTAGATAGAAATTCCAAACAACTTTACCTGCAGTTGTCTGGACAAATGTGTTTATCTGTAAATATTAGGAAGCTGATCAGAGAGCCACAGAATGGCTGATGTTGGAAAGGACCTCTGGAGGTCATCTGCTCCAAAGCCTTGTGCTGAAGCGGGGCCAGAGCAGATCGACCCAGACTATGTCTGGGGTTTTGAATACCTCCATGGACAGAGACTCCAACACTCCTCAGGGCAATCTGATCATGCGCTCAGCCACTCTCACAGGAAAAGTAAGCGTTCCCTGATGTTCAAAGCAAACCTCCTGTGTTTCAGTCTGTGCCCATTGCCTCTTGTCCCATCACCGAGCATTGCTGAAAAGACCCTGGTTCCATCTCCTTCCCACCCTCTCTTCTGGTATTTATATACTTTGATGAGATGCCCCCCGAGCCTTTTCTTCTCCAGGCTGAACAGTTGCAGCTCTCTCAGCCTTTCCTTATAGGAGAGATGCTCCATTCCTTCATCTCTACAACAGACCAGCAACTGAAGATACTTTTCTGCTAGTATATTAACTCTTTACTACAAATCTTTCTTCAAGCCCATTTGATTTGACTCTATAAACCCCTGATCTACCACTTAAATAATTTCACTCTTCTGCCAGCCAAAACGAACACAAAATATAACAAATCAGACACCCAGCATCGAAAGACAAACCCCCTCCAACCCTTGCTTAGCTCCTTCCCCTCAGCAGGGCAGAAGGTCAGCGAACAGATGGAAGAGGAAGCCACTGCACCCCAAATACTCCATCTGCATTGAACTTACCTTTCTGGATTTGGATTGTTCAACCTGTTGAGATCCTGGGGTGGGTTTGGCCCAGAAGAAGCCAACAAGTGGTAAAGTTGAGAGAACATCAGAGAGCATCCCCAGGTGGGTCTTTTGCTGCTGCTGCTTGGGCCCCCTGAAGCGGTACCTGTACGACAGCAGCAAGCCGAGGGAGAAAAACACTAACACGGAGAGCAGCACCTCCTTGTTAGCGTAAGTCATGAGGTCTCCACACTTTTTGTACACGTAGATGAACGAGGCGATACCCAGAAAGGTCCACATTGTGAGGAGACTGGTCACTGCTCTCGGCCGCTTCCTCCAAAGCTCTCCTGTTGATGGATACCGTCCAAAACGGGGGTTTGTGCAAGGAACCGAAAAACAAATGTATACAAATGCAAAGACTTCCTTCGCGATGGAAGGGAGGAGGGAGATCCCGCT